TCTTAACTTTTATAAAGAATATCTCTTTGGATTTGAGACTTTAGTCTTTGCAACTTTACAGATCTTCTTTATGCACCAAGAGCTTGTAACACTCCAAAGAGAAAGGAAAACTTGAAATCGCATCATATGACCCCTTTAAGTAATTTGTGGATTAGTGTGTACTGGAGATGCGAACCGTTTCAAACAATTCAGTTCGATTTGGTGAACTGGTTCGATTCGTTCGCGATCCGGACATCACTAGACGAGACAAAACCAATAAAACCCATTACAAATGAGGCATTTGTTGCATCCAGTGGGGACATAATTACAGATTATAATGACTTATACTGTCTTTTTACGCGTTCACGCCGCGTAAACATAAAACCATGTCTGCATTTGTTTATCGGAGAAATGACAAACAACAAGTGCTACTCTACACTGCTCATCAGTGGCAAATCCTTTAAATATGAAAACGTACTTACAGTCTGTGAGTCAGAACAGCCGGCATTGTATTTTACTCTCCCAAGATCAGGAAACAGTCCTCAATAAAATGCTTGGCACACATCTGAATATTTGGGTTGAACTGTTCTGGAACAGTATTGTAAATACAACTTAACCACTGATTTCTAGTCGTGTCCTCTTTTTGAAGGCCAAACAAAGTAGTTTCGTTTTTGCAACGAAACGCACGGCGGGGTTGAGTGAGCGGCGTAACCACATGTGATGACCCCGGGCTGGACTCCATCTGCAACAATACTACAGCGTGAATAAAAGTTATGCCTTCTTTCTTTGTGTGAACATTTGGGCGGCGGTAAGCAAATCTTCTCACATCGTGATGTAGACATGTGGAGGCGTGTTAGAACGAGCCGTTTTAGGTAGGCGTGGCTGACTCTTAACTTTTATAAAGAATATCTCTTTGGATTTGAGACTTTAGTCTTTGCAACTTTACAGATCTTCTTTATGCACCAAGAGCTTGTAACACTTCAAAGAGAAAGGAAAAATTGAAATCGCATCATATGACCCCTTTAAAACTATAGTCCTGCCAAAGATTAGCTCCGATATCTAACATCCTCAACCATAAAATTATTTAAACAACTTTCAAATAGCTGAAGTAATACAGGTTTTGAACAAAAAAAGTTTTATAAAATGATAAACAACAAGGCCTTTTAATTGTTTAAGGAAAAGAATGAGTCAATATTCTAGATTATAATTTTTGGAATTCACATTAGCTTCTTTTCAATCAACCGATTACCAAATAACAATCTCCCGAGTTGAATGAATCAACATGAGCAGTAAATTTGAGTTTGCAGGGTACGTTGCCATTGTGAGAGTTACTACTGTTTTTCAGGTGTTGCCAAAAATGTAGCTTAACTCTACAGAAAAAAAAGATTACTTAGTGATTAGCCTGACTGAGAACCAAAAAAGGCACCAAATGAATCATTGAATCAAACGAATCATGTAGCTAAACTATCAAGGAATTTAACGATTAAAAATCTTGATTCTCCTCTAGCACAAGCTAAAAAATAGTTCAGTACTAAAAAAGCACATCTCTTAGGTTTTGAGGTTATCCGTGTGCTTGAGACCACCTGAGGGTGGGGAGATCTTTGAGTTCTCCTGAGGGCCGAGGCAAGGTCATTATAGGCTCTTGCCTCACCAGAGTGTGGACCGGCCAATCTGCTCGCCCTGCATCACATCTCACCAGGACACTGACGGCTGATTGGCTTAAACTCAGCAAGGCCCCAGACAGACCTGCAGGGATGAAACGGGTTTTACACACACACGAGCGCTAACTGTGTTACTCCTCCCCTCATGCTTATCTTGAATGCCATATGCATGCCATATCAGCCCATGGGTTTGTCAGTCATCAGCGCTCAGCGTGATTGGAAACGTTCCAACCCTGTTGTACACAGTACAGGGAGTTCATAGGATGAGATACTGTAGGTTTATTGCATTGTACAGCAAGATATTCCTCCTGTATGAACCTCAACAACACAGAAAATAATCCTTAAATGAGATTAACAAACTATAGGCAAGAACATAAAATGAAAAAGTGATTTTTTTTCATAAAATTTGGTTCCATTAATAAATTGGTAATACTACATACATTTAGAAAGAAGTCATTTACAAAACTTTTCTTTCCGAAAAGCTTTCAACATTTGTAGATCAATCTCAAAATAAAACCAGAAAGTTCAGAAAGTTTCTTGTTCTTGCGGTCACGAGCAAAGAGTTTCACACCATTAAACTAAATAAAAGTGCTCGAAGCAGAACTGCAGCAGCAAATCTGTAGTGGCAGCCAGGCAAGTAATGCAATGAATTCATAACTTGCACCTTACACACATCAAATTAGGCGTTCTGAACTCAAGTATTAGTATGGAAAGACTATAATGGGATTATGAAACAAAAAAATAAGATTGTTTAGTGCAAACAATGTTACAGAAAATATATTGAACATATTATGATGCATACTTAAATTAATGGTGGTGTCTTACATGTGCATTTCATTTCTTATCTAAAAAAATCATGACCTCGAGGCCTTTTTTAAAAGGATAGTTCACTCAAAAATAAAAATCATTTACTGAAGTTGTTCCAAACCTGAATGACTTTCAAAAGAACACAAAAAATATTTTAAAGAATGTTGGTAACCAAGCAGATTTGGTTACCATTGACATCCACTGTATGGAGAAAAATATTTTCTGAAAATATTTTCTTTTGTGTTCTACAGAAGTCAGTCAGTCATACAGGTTTGGAACAACATGAGGATGAGGAAAAATTGTCATTTTGCATGAACTACCCTTTTAAGACTAGTGATAGTTAAAAATGTGCTTAATTTATTAACTGCTCCATATAGTGAATTAGACCACAAAAAGTGACGAAAAAAAAAAAAGTGAAATTCTATTACAATTCCCTTTCTTTCATAAGCATAGATGGCACAACTGCAGTAATTCTACATGAATTGTGTAGATGGAAGCCCAACAGGTAGTGATGAACCAATTCTTTAAGAAGTGGAATGACATTGTTGAAACTGCCATTTAAGGGTCCCAAAAAGTCACAAATAAAGTGAAACAACTTTAAAACAAGAACAAAATGAAAAGAAAAGAAATACAACACAAAAAAGAAAGGCAATTGTGGTCCAATACAAGTCATTACCAACTTTTCACGTCTACCAAAATACCCTCTCTACTTTGATTATTGTCTTATACAAGCACTTCCCAATAAATGTACACTTTGCCTAAAGCCACATTAATGAATTACAATAATCAAAATGTATAATGCCTTCGTATGTAAATAATCGTAAACATTTAGATACTAACTGTACAAAAGATCTGAAGTTCCTGACATCCTCTTGATCATCGGGGCTAGAAAAGGGTCTTCCTAAAACAAATGGCCAGTGAGAAAGCTCACGTACAGCTGAGAAGATGCTGGGATTAGATCAAGGCATCAAGTTTACAGCATATATGTATATCTCATCAAGGCCATAGTCAGACCTCAAACTCTGATCAAATATTTACAAAAATGTAAATTACTTTAATAAAATCTGAGCCGCAGCTCATTTACGGAAAAACAAGTAAGGCCTTCTGAAGATGAACAGGCTGTGTTGGTTATTCTAGTGTGTTTGCACTCTTCAAAGGTGCTTTTACAGACTTTGTACCATTTTTGGTGTTGGTGTAGCGCCTGTATGGATACGGGTTTAAAAGGTTTCAGAAGAGTGTCAAGAGCACTTGGGCAGAGCAGCGCTCTCTGATGGTAGAGCATTGTGAATAAGGCGTTTCTTCATTTGAGTCAGAAAGCAAACTGGGAATGTAGATTAAACAACCTGGAGAAAGAGAAGACCAGATTTTGAATAAATGTACAATGCGATGTGATTTATAGGTGGGAAATAGGCTCTTTTTTAAAGGTGCAAGTTACCTGGTGTTGTTCAGAAGAGAATAGCCTCACAGCTGGTCTTCTCTTGAACATATGAGGTGAAGCGTTTAAGGAACTTGGGGTATTCTCTCTTGGCTACAGCTCGCAGGACTGATGCAGGAGCCCAACCTCCAGGATTTACTTAAGGATTACATGAACACAGCATTAATGCGACATTTTGTATCATGTATACAAAAAATAAAGATTGCAATCCAAACTCTGATGTACTCGGTGTGTAGGATTTATTTATTTATTTTTTTTTCATTTTTAAACCGCCCATTCCCCCCAAATGTATATATCTGGAAACTGAAAATGTATAATAACAATTTATAATAAAATATTGACAGTCATGGTTTGTTGATGTACCTACTGTCTGATGCTAACAAAAAGTGCTCCAGTGCCAAACAGTTGCTATAGCTACCTCTTCAGAATCTCATCATTCAGAATCTCATCATTCAGAATTTATGAGGTCGTTTTAGTGTCAAGTACAAACTAACATTTAATGTAACTTTTGTGGTCAGTGAGACATTTGAAATATAAAATATATAGCTTTAATATTTGTAAAAATACACTACTGTTCAAAAGTTTGGGCAAAATATTTAGATGTTTTTGAAAGAAGTCAATTATGCTCATCAAGGCTGCATTTAATTTACCCATAAATACAGTAAAAACAGCAATATTGAAAAATATTATTACAATTTAAAACGGTTTCTATTTTTAATGTTTTAAAATGTAAAGATTAATTTTAGCAGCCATTACTCCATCATCAGTGTCACATGATACTTCAGAAATCATTCTAAAATGCTGATTTGCTGCTCAAGAAACATTTCTTATTTTTTATCAATGTTGAACAGTTTTGCTGCTTAGTATTTTTGTGGATGTCATTCATTTTTTTCAGGATTCTTTGATGAATAGAATGTTCAAACAGCAGGAACAGCATTTATTTGAAACGGAAATCTTTTGTAACACTATAAAGTCTTAAATCTTTTCTGTCACTTTTGATCAATTAAATTCCTTGTTGCTGAATAAAAGTACTAAGTAGTTTCAGAAACACAAATCTTACTGAGACCAAACTTTGCATGTATTTTAAGACCCCCCATCTAACCTTTACTTTGAATTTTTTTTGGGTTTGAAATTTTAATTAGGAGGGTCAGACACCCCCAACACTTACCATTGGCTACATATGTGATTTTACAGAGGATGTTGTCTCTGGTGATCTCTTTGTCTCCCTCTGGTGGGCTGATTAGTGTTTGACAGATCATGGCTACATTGATTTTGGCACGAATGCATCTAGCAGAAGGCTGGAGAAAACAAACAAACAAAAAACCCTGTAAGACAGCTTTCTGATGCACAGCTTACTGTATACTGCTAATGTTGAATAATATGCCTTTATATGCTTCTAGGTTTCCAATAACCTGCGTTTATGATATCAAATTGCATGAAGAGGCAACTTTTAACAAGATACTAACTGGATAGCCGTCATGATCCACTGAGAAGTTGCACACCAGCCAGGTGTCTGGATCATTCTCATTAGTGGAGAGAATTTTTCGGATGACTGATACATAAAGCACATCTCTCTGGGAAGCAGGCCACACCCTCTGCAACAGAGAAGTGAGAAAAAAACCTGAGATCTAAAGATTTCAGAAACAACCAACACCCATGATGCAATAGTGAATGTTATACCTTGTGTGTCTGATGAATGATGACCGCTTTATCTGAGAGTGTCTCAACCACTTGAAAGCTTTCAACAGTTGCTATAAATAAATAAGTTGTTTTTACATATTTTTCCATGACAGCATTTTCTTAAGTTTTCTATTTTCTCCTCTTGAATCATAGACATGCATATTTTAAAACATACATTCTCAAAATATAACATTAGAAAATCAAAAAGGCAAAACAATGTACTAAGGTGAACATACTTTCCCAGTCGTTCCGAAAAGCTGTGCCCCAAAAGTAGTGGCAGACCTCGTGACCTGTGACCCCTCTGACAGCATGCGTAGCTTTGAGAGGATCCAGAACGATGCCGTTCTCCTCCACTTCTCTCCTGTACACCTGCAAAAACAATTGTTCTAACATATTAATTTCATTCGTTTTTTTTTTAGTTTTAATAATGAACTATAAGAACTATAAATAGACCAAACAGTGGTTTGAATGACAGCAACCTCTAGGGGAAAGAGAGCAATATCACTTGGAAAGGGTTCAATGGAATAATTCACTGAAAAAATGCAAATATCCCAAACTATAACCTGAGGAAGATTTAGACTGGTGTCAAGGTTCTTTTGCATTTTCTTCTGTTTTGTGACTGAACCAGAAACTACCCAGGACAAATATATATATATATATATCAATCACAGAATGAAAAGCTTTATTACCAAGTATATGTTTACACACACAAGGAATTTGACTTGATGACAGGAGCTTCCATTGCAGAAGAAAGTACAGTCATAGTACAGACACACAGAAATTAGGCAATAAAAATAACACAATTTCATTTAAAAAGACAAACATTTAAATATGCAATACAGTAATACAAATATTACAAAAATATATAATACATTTAGGAATGTACAAACATTTTATTTACAGGTGTACGGTTTATGAACCTATTTACAAATGTACAATTTTGGATTATGTTATGTACAAATGTTCAGATATGAAAGTTTTAATTGTTCAGATTTAATATAGCCTATGGTTCTAATGATACAGAATACAACCTAGGCAGTGAAAAATAATACACCTCGGGGCTGCAATGTTGAGACCTGCAAATGCACTTCAATTTCTACAATTATTAGATTGGCATATGGCATAAACTGACAGAAATGTCAGCTGACGTGTCTGCTGCAACTCTACAATTTTATTGTAGCAACATTCTATTGTATCTTTGTTTACGTGTGTCTATTTCTCTATACCGTTAGATGTTGTCATACGTCATATGTGGACGCGCGTTCACGACAGTACCATGAGATGAAAATGTGGAATAAAGTCGTTATTTTTGTTTTCTTTGCGCAAAAAAGTATTCTCGTAGCTTCGTAACTCATTAAAATATCATCATCAACGTCAAAAATATCTTAAATTGTGTTCCGAAGATGAACGAAGGTCTTACGGGTTTGGAACAACACGAGGGTGAGTAATTAATGACAGAATTTTCATTTTTGGGTGAACTAACCCTTTAATGACCCCAAACTTTTGAACAGCAGTGTATGTTGTTTAAAAATGTAATGACAGACTAATTAATTTACCCAATCTTCACTCAAAACATGACAAATAAACAAATAAATAAAAATTCTAAAATCAAAAACTAAAAAAACTGGTCACTGAATCTTAAATGCAGCAGATGGCCAATAAAATGACTCTAATTCACATTACAGTCAAATGAAACATTCACATTCAATGAAAGCGCTACTGATTGAAGCTCTCCATCACTCTGATCTTCTGACACACACTGTATCAGATCTGCATTGGGTCGGGCTGATGATGTTGATGGGGAACAAACTGTTCTGGAGACGCTGGAGTGTGTGAGTGTGTTAGACATGAAGAGCAGAGCGAGGGGTGACGACAGGGAGGGAACAATGCTGTTTATCTTTCATCTTCCTGGAAATGCTTTCCTACATTTTCACCACTCCCCATGGTGCGCACACACACACGCACACACGCACACACGCACACACACACACACACACACACACACACAGGTGTACTTCATGGGGTTTGGGTGAAAGTGTGTTCAATTCAGAGATAGCGGGCTGGAAGTCATCACTGTGAAAGCCTAACAGCGGTAATACTGACAGATTGTTATGATCATGAGTGTTTCTACTCCCAAGACAAGAAAAAAATCTGCTTTGCCATCATAGGAATAAATGAAATTTTAAAATATATTACAGCAGAATGCATCCTTGGAGAGCAGAAGAGACTAAAAGCAAACAAAATCTTAATACCAACCCCAAACTTTTAAATTGTATTATATGTGTGCTATTCAAAAACAATAATTCTGTGAAAACATTTTACACACTGTTTTGTAAGGTTTTGTTTCAATTGTCTCATTTATACTAAACAAGTAAAAAATTCAGCTTTGCATCACAGGAATAAATATCATTTTAAAATATGTTAATATAAAAAAAAAATGCTATTTTGAATTGTAATACAATTCCAAAATATTACTGTTTTGACAGTATTTAAAAAAAAAAATTGCAGCTTTGGTGAGCATAAGAGACATTAAAACATAAAAAAAAAAAATAGCCGACCCCAAATTTTTGAATGGTGATGCATATAGATAAATATAAATGTAGATATGTACTTACAGGGAATTAAATTATCCTCAATTATCTTTTTATATTTGTTTTACTGAGCTGTTTCTATGGAATCCTGTTTCCATTTCAAAGTGTTAAATAAAAAAAATAAAAAATACTGCCTTTATCTACATCTCACCTTCATATCCCCTTCTTCAACAACCAGCTGCCAGTTAGCATCTCCACCCACATCCTGCAAAGAGTAATTCATGTGGCTCTGCACCATCTCCTCAACCTGTGAACAAAACAAGTGTGAGGTGTTGTACACTAGAACAATCATATGCCTGCAGTTCATCCACACTAGTGTAGTGTCATAAATCTACCTGAGCACTGAACCTGTGCACGTCATCGGAGGCACTTATGAGGTCAACGGAGGATAAGAAGGAAGTTTGACTGTGAGGCTGAACCAAAGAGCCAGAGAGCCAGAGGGGAACAGGTCAAGGGAAAGAGAAGAAAATTAAAATCTCATAATAACCCAAAGAATACACAGCAGACTGCCACTGCAAATCACACTTCAGCAGGAGGGACTGGAAGAACAAAGGCTGTTTCACGAATGTAAAAGCTCCAAAGATTTCACAGAGCAGATCCATCAGCAATGACAGAATTGCATAATCAGTCACGAAGCAGCAAATGTGCTTCGACACTGTGAGTTGTGTAGGAGTGTGTGCTTGTGTGGGTGAGTCAGAGTGGTCTGACTTACCTTAGTCAAGTATTTCTGAGTGCTGATGGAGGAACAGGTGTCTGGAGTAAGGGAGATCTGTCGAGATGCCCTGCTCCTTTCTGCCTGGGACTGCAAAACAAGACAGTAACATTTCTGTATGGACATAGGCATAAAATACAAGTGAATTAGCTGGAAATATGCTGTGGATATAGTTCTTGACTAGTGTATTGGCTGTTGGATCCCAATGAACAATGAGCTCTGGGTCATGCATTATATTTCAGTCATTTGTGGACCGTGGTTCTTCTGTTACTCCACAAAAGTGGGGCCTACATTCATTATCAGCTTTGGTTCCAAATAGTAGTCAGCTTATACAATCAACAAGGTTGAAATTCGCCCTTTTTATCATTGGCAGATAACATACTGATTTTAAAAGTCAACCCAGACTTTAAAAAGCACCTAAATTAGCACCACATCAACCGCTAATAATGTTCAGTTTATGTTCTTTTCTGTTTAGTTATGTTGTCTGCACTTTAAATGCCCAAGCTTTTTAAAGGCAGGTGGATTCTGATTGACTATCAATGTTTTTTATCATCACCTGGAGAAAAAAAAAAAGTTCTGAAAGTGATTTAAAGGTATCGCTTCTCTTGGTTGTTATTGTTATAGCTGTGGTGTGAACCTCGCTATTAATAAATAACGAATAATAATAAAACAGTATAGTCAGTCATCGTTCTTGTCATAGTCAGTGTAAACTGGCCTTTATTGTGGTAAAAAAAAAACAACAACAACAACAACGCCCAATCTGACTCAATTAAACAAACTGACTTACTGACTTAAAATGACTAAAGATCAATTTTAATGTGCTGTTTTAATGTCAAATTGATTTTTTTATGAACCAAAAACTTTGTAACAGAAAGGCATGTAGTATAACAAATCCAAATCACGTGTCAGAGTGCCAATACTTCAAACAGATGCCTTACAAATACAAATGCGTAAAACATCCAGCTTTGCAAAAGTGTTCATTTATTTGAAATAATAATGGCTGAATCATTACTTGCTCTTCGATCTGGTCATGTTTATCCAACGCAGCTTCCACAGCATCAAAGAACTCCTCTTCATTGATTAGACTGTTTGGTCCTTCCTGCACAGAGAGAATATCTCAGTCTGGAATGGAGGGTGTGTGTTGAACCAAAGATGGACAGGCCAGTGTGAATTAAAGGCCGTGGACGTACTTCATAGTCTGGTCCTCCATAATGAGGCTTCTTCTTCAGCTCTGTCAATGCAGCTTTGTAGGCGTCTTCAGCCCGTTTTCTCCTTTCGATTTCCTTATGGATGATAGAAGAATGTTACTCATAGTTTTACTATATCCGAAATACATCACAATGCGCTCAAGAAAATATTAAATGGCTCATAACAATATATAATTAATAAATAACTTTTATAATAAATATTTTTCCCCCACACTCTTAATTTTATTTCTTTATTTATTAAATGATCAAGTTTTCTGGTATTTGGAAATGAATAATAGCATCTATACTGCATTTTCCTTATCACCTCACTGTGACTAAGTGGACCAAGTTTAAATTCTGTTGTATGCATTTGTCATTATTATTTAATCTCTTTATTTTAAAAATGTGTATAGGTAGTATTTATAAAGTTTTAGCTTTTAGTTTTGGATCTGTTTTTAGTTGTTTTAATACTACAATTGATTGCTTCTGTTGTCCTCATTTGTAAGTCGCTTTGGATAAAAGCGTCTGATAAATGACTAAATAAATAAATGACTAAATAATAGTCCCAAAACTAACAATATTTCCTGTAAAATTGGAATGGGGTAGTAAAAGATAATTCTGTAATCATTTACCAATTCTAATGTTGTTCCAAACCTGTTTTACTTTTTCGTCTATATATGACAAAAGGAGATATTCTAAAGAATGTTCACGCTGTTCTTTTTCGTAATTGACTAAACTGAGGTCTGTTACTTATACAAAGCTAAGGTAAGGCTTCAGAGGACTTGAAGTTGAAATATAACGTATGGACATCTTTTATGATGACTTTTTGGAACTTGACCAAGTGTGCTTTATTTTTTTATTTGTTTTTAAACAGCAGTAATGAAAAAACAATTGACAACCTACTCACATCAACACAATTATACATAAACTTATAATATTTTCTTTTAATGAAAAACAACAATTGAGAACCTACTTGCATCAACATAATTATACATAAATATATCATATTTTTCTTTTTTTTAATAAAAAATAAATTTGATTGTTGATGGAGAAACATTTTTAAAAACATGTTGTGGCCTGATGGTTAGAGAGTCTGACTTGTAACCCAAAGGTCACAAGTTCGAATCTTGGTAGCGGCAGGGATTGTAGGTGGAGGGAATGAATGACCAGCACTCTGTTCCACCTTTAATACCACGACTGAGGTGAGACACTTGAGCAAGGCACTGAACCCACAACTGCTCCCCGGGCACCACAGCACATGGCTGCCCACTGCTCCGGGTGTGTGTTCACGGTGTGTGTGTGTTTTCACTACTCACTGCTGTGTGTGTGTGCTTGGATGGGTTAAATGCAGAGCACAAATTCCGCCTTTATTAATTAACGCCGCCTTTCCACGGTCTCCAACATTTGGATACGACTGTCGCATTTCTCCCCCTATCGGCAGGCGTACAGAACTTTTAAACTGGTCGTGAAGCAACCGTGACCATCAGCTTATTCACCATGGTATGTCTGAATGAATGCCTGAATATATCTGCACAAAATTAAAATGACTTTAATTTGACTTAAAATTAAAATAATTATTTCTGCCATAATTTTTCTAAAGCGCCATTTTAAGAAATAGTGTTTACAGAATAACATTAATGTGGAACAATATTGGTCATTTTGACCTTGCGCTCAGTTTTGATTAGAATACATCACATCCGGTCGGGTGGTCGCATTGGGCAGTGGAAAGGCGGCTTAACACATTTGATGCTCACGAAGGCTGCATTTATTTAATAAAAAAAATATAGTAAAAACTGTAATATTGTGAAAAATTATTGCAATTTAAAATGACTGTTTTCTATTTTAATATATTTTAAAATGTAAAATGTATTCCTCTGACAGCAAAGCTGAATTTTCAGCATCAATATTACAGTCTTCAGTGTCACATGATCCTTCAGAAATCATTTTATTATGCTAATTTGATGCTCAAGAAACATTTCTTATGATTATGTTGACAACAGATGTGCTGCCTAATATTTTTGTGGAAACTGAGATATCTATTTTTTTAAAAGGACAGCACTTACTTGACATATAAATATTTTGTAACATTATAAATGCATTTTACTTTTGTTCAACAAATATGCAATTCATACATGTTTGAGAAGTAAATGATAACAGGATGATTTTTTTTTTTGGGATGAAAAACCCCTTTAATTTCTGCTGCACACTACCTTATCCAGTCGTCTTTGCCAGCTCTCCTCTCGTTTGACCAAAATGTCAATGCAGTGGGACAGTGTGGACAGGATTCCTGCTGTAGTAGCTTTAAACGTGATGGCTTCACCCTTGAAATCGATGCCTAAAGGACCTTTGAGGTTGTCCACAGGGAATACTGAGGGGAATCAAGTAAAATTAGTGTCAAATAGCAGCAGTATTTAAACTTAGCTCTACTTTCTGAAGGAACTTCAGTTGCTTAATTAAATCTTATTACCCCCGGTTTCAGAGACAAGGCTTAAGCCTAGTCCTAGACTAAAATGTAAGTCTGAGCTGTTTCAACTGAAAGAAACTTGCATTGACTGATCTTAAAATATATCAGTGCCTTTGTTTTGTCTCAAGATGCACACCAGTAATGTTTTTTTTCTAAGCACGTTTATGAAAATTGCTTAAATGTCTTAATTGAACTATGATCTAATCCTGGCTTAGTCTAAGCTCCGTCTGTGAAACCGGGCCTTAGTGTCTTCTTATCAATTATCAAAGGATAAAAATCTTCAGTCACAGACAGATAGAAGCCATTTACTTACAACCAAAATGGACATAATGGAAGATTTTCACCAGTATGGGAGTAAAAAGCACTTAGTTTTTACACACACCAAATTGATGCTACCACTAACTGCATGAAGTGCAGTTTGCAGTGTATTGCCTGCATTTATAATATTGCAAATAAACATGTATGATGATCTCATGGTATTTACTATGTATTCAGGAAATATATATAGTGTAAAAAAAACTTTGCTTGAGTGTCAAACAGCTTTCAGACAGGATCACAGGCGTTTAATCATTTAAACAACAGGTGTATTATGCATAGAGTATGTGCTTATGACAAAGCAAAAAAAAAAAAGTGGAGAGGCCGCTGGCGGCAGAGGTGAGGGACAGTAAGGAGCCATGGCGGCGTAAACTGCTCTCAGACCCGTAGCCTGACTCAGCCTGCACTCAAAATACAGCACAAAGAAAAAGAGCCAGTTAGGTAACTTCACACCTGTTCAAAAATAACATTCAATTGGACCATTGGGCAGTGAGGTGTCATGGTTGAAGCTGAACTAAGCATTTCTGAAACTTGCAAAGAAATAAAGCGGCTGGTACTAGGACTAGAAAATGCATATTACAATGATTTCTGAAATATCATGTGACACTGAAGACTGGAGTAATGGCTGCTGCAATTTCAGGTTTGTTACCACAGGAATAAATTACATTTGAAAATATATTAAAATAGAAAAATAGAAAATTAAACTTATTTTAAACTGTAATAATATTTCACAGTAACACTGTTTTACAGTATGTTTGATCAAATCAAACTTTTGAACAGTAGCATAAAAGGCCATGTTAAGTGCATTCAGTACTCACATGTAACTTTTATTTGGTCAGAAGACACTGTACCTGACTGAACGAGCCTTTGTTTCAGTCCTTCCATGAGTGCACTGTGAAACTGCTGACACTTGGCTTGTGGAAGATTTAATTTGATAAAGTGCTTTAATTAATAGCTAGTGACAGATTGGGCAGGATGTTAAATTCAACTCCAATGGAACATTGGAACAAAACCATATTTCAGGAAAAGCTTGAATAACCTGCTTCAGTCCTTCTTTATCCCAATCAATGAATGATGGAAACGATTACTGTAATTAAAACCGCCAAACAAAGATGTCAGTGGTGATGAACACATGATGAATGGTCGAGTAAGAGAGTGCTGGATGGTGAACAAGTAAATGACGTGAATTAAAATGCTAATGTGCTAAAGCCCACCATTCGTCCATTCCAGCAGCCAAAGCAGGACAAGGCACTGCTGCAGTCCAGAGTGCTCGGCCCCAGCATGACCACTGCTCTTTCCAGACACTCCCAAAAGTGCCCTCTCTTCGGACGGTCCAAGAATTCCCAGGACTTTCTCCAAACACCTCAAGAATACCCAGTGCTTTCTCCGGACCCTCCAAGAATTCCCAGTTCTCTTGTCGGACACTCCCAGAATTCCCAGTGCTCTAACTGTAGACTATTTCACAAGCGCATGTTGGAGCAGGAACGAAGCAGAAGACGAGTTTGTTTCATTTTTAGCTTTAAAATTAAAGCCATTAGTGTTCGCAATGATGTGAAGAAATGTGAGGTGGGTTTCTGAGGCAGTATGAAGCCAGATAGATTGTGGGTGGGTCTGCAAAGCATGTGGAGGAGAGAAAGAGAGAGCGACAGAGAGAGAGTGACGGCAAACCATACAGACACTGAAACTCCCAGAGCTGCCGCACACACTACCACTCACCTAACTGCAATAAGATCAACATAAATCATCCAGATTCCTCTGCATCTAATCCAGCAGAGTGTAAGTGAAAGTGAGAGCGTGTGTTTAAGGAGTCTATAAGCGTGTTAAATCAGATGCTGCTGGGCGTGTGCTCTCGTCTCAATCTCGTGCCGTACTCCTCAGCTCAGCGCTCATCTTAAAGTGGACCAATGAATTCTTGAACCGCACCATCACCCAAAACTACTAAGTTCCTGATCCCTTTATTTTGGTTCAGAAGTCTTCTTGCAGTGCAGGGCTTTCAAAGCAGCCTTTTTAGTTGACCGAATATACTCATACATTATTCATGCAGCTGGACGACTGTGAGCGGAAAATGCCCATCCACCCCAGCCTGCACACCCACGCATGCGTACACATTAAGAGATCACCTCAACAAACGAAGAGTCGCGATAAACAATGCTGACCTGAGCGCCAACAGCCTCTCGACTGCGCTCTTCTGTTGGAGGGATTGGTGATTCAAATAACATTTTTAGATTTGAAGCCGTACAGAGCAGAAACAAGAGGCAGGTCGAAACAATGGGTCAGTTTGTGTTTATATAAGAGAATGTTGGGAGACGGGCATAGATACTGATATAGATATTATATATTTATGTGGTACTACTAACTACAGTATAAGCATATATAATTATGTGAGTTACATTGTCATTGACAAAACCTTTGACAATCATTTGCTGTAGAACTCAAGGTAACATGAGCTTTTTGAGTACATGTACAATTACATTTCATAAAGAATTTTTGTTTTAATTTTTTTAATAATTTCGGTTGCAGAAAGAAGTGTGAACCAGAAAACGAGTGAACAGGAACTAAGACAGTCAAGCTCTAAAAATAAAGTAAATGAATCAATGCACCATTAAAAGCGGCCCATACAAGTTATCCATTATATTACAAGTTGTATAAAACCATATGGATAGACTACAATAAAACTGAAGCTGTTATTTCCTGAAAATATATAACTTTATGGTGTTTTTCTGTCATTTTTTTGGAGCTTGGCAGCCTAAGTCTCCAAAACCTTTTTTACTCTATGGAAAAGCGCAGCACGGACATTTGCCAAACATTTGTGGGTAACCAAAGAAAGAAAAACATACGTTTGGAACAAGAGTTTGAGTATATGACGACTCCTTTCATTATCATTTTTGGGTGAATGATTCTATCATTTAAAGAGACCAGAAAGGCTCCCCTCTGGAGTCTAAAACAGCTTTTTAAGTCACATGACAAAACTGCAATAGCACTTTTAACCAGCAGATGGTAGAAGTGGCCATGAGTGTAAAACTACCAGCGCACATTTGGATTATTTCTTATTTTTTGGATTATTTGAAGTATTTCTGCTGTTTGTTTACTTAGATCACAATGTTCCTAAAAGGACACAAACACATTATTTCACATTAATGAACTGACTGAAGGACTTGGTAATTTAGCAACCAAACTCACTGTTGATTTCTCATAAATCCACAGAACTTCAGTTTATGCCTTTTATGACCTTCAAAACAAGCAAAGAGCTTAACATTGTCTCTCTCAGTCCAATGCAGGACAACAGACTCCTCTCAACACACAAAAATCAAACATAAAACATTATGATACTTCAAGAAATGTATCTGCTTTAACAGACAAACTCTCCTTCTCCCTGTTAGAAAAACACAACTATACACACAAACACCCTTTCCTGGATCCAAACACCAGCTGTGTAGAAACAGCTCCACTCCTTTTATTGAGTTCAGCTGTACTCGCACATGTGAGAGTCATTCAGATCAGCACATTCCTCAGGACCCTCCCTTTGCATATCTCTCTCAAGACATGATACGTCACTGCAAACCACTGCCAGACATCACTTGCACAATAAATCTCTCGCTTCTCCTCATGCAAACGAATCTTAGCCAACATGTCACTCAGAGAGCAGAGCTGAAGTTTTCCAGGACATCCGCACTTGCCTGCTAAACATGTAAAAAGCAGTGTGTCAAATGAGTTATGACACAGTAAGCAAACAGGTATTAAGAAACGGTTTAACAAGAAAATTATTTTTGCAGTTTCTGTTAGTATGTCAGAGGTCAAAGGACAAAGCCAACATGGCAGGTTCAGTATGCACAGGAATAAATTATACCAGGGTCAATGACATACAATCATGTGATAAAAAAATAAAAAAATAAATAATTTAAACTAGTTCTTAGAAGTGTATTCCTGTAGGGTTTTTTTGGTTTTAAAAAATAAATGAATAAAATAATGACTCTTAAAAATGTCACAGAGTAAATATCAAGTAGAATTTCATAAATGATTTACTTTTTATCTGGAATACAATTAAGTGTTCACATTTTGATCATCATTACCAAAATATTTGTATGTGTTTTTAAGGTAAATAGTACTTTAAAAAATGTCTATCATTGATTATTAATTTTGAAACCTTAAATAAAATTTTTACCACTCAAAAAATAAATTAATTCAAAAAAATATATTTTAATGTATTAGTTAAAACATGCTCCAAATCAAGGTGTATCCAAGTCACTGTATATATGAACTGTATTTCTAATGTTTTTTTTAAATAAATTAAAACCCCTACACACCTGTATATCTAAAGAACGTACTTCATCAACAACGGAGACAAATTCTTTATCAAATTCAGTATATGCTACGAAAAGTACACGCATTTTTAGCTCACTGTACTCAAATGACAGCACAAGGAAATGATAGCCAGAAAAAAAAGCACGTGGGACACATTCCACTGAACCGTGCCTCCAACACCTTCCTTCCCTCAACAAAAGAAATAAAACACCCAATCAGGTTCTGCCACCCAAACTTGATCACTCACTATCAGAAAGACACTGGAGCTGAGCTGCAGTTTATCTAGAGGCTTTGCTGCTTCTGACGCACTCACCTTGTGAAGTTCAATGGTATCGATCCACTGCTGCCGGAGCAAAGGATGTTCAGCCCTCAGGTACCAGATGCTGTCGTTCACACTGATGTCAAAACGGCATTCATCAAACTCATGAGGCTGAAAAGAAAGAGAACATCAAAAACAAGAACAGATCATAACAACGAACATGCTGGAAAATGGAAAAGGTTTATGGGCCATGTTTATTCAAATCTGTCTGCCATTATGTTTTTGAAGCACCTTTTCCTGCTGTTCCTGATAAACAACTCCTTGCCACCACAACATAGATTTGCACCACTGAATAGGTCACTGAAAATCTCACACTTTTACAGATGGCAGATAACAGTAAAACAAAAACTGCAGACCGCCTCATACACAAACTAGGGGAAACCACCAGCTATTGTAAGCAGTGCACAAATGATCCACAGTTTGGAACTTACATCTTTACCAAAGCACAATTTTGCCAGATTACCATTTTGTTCGTAATTAGCTACTACAGTAGATGGCGATTTTTTTAATCTAACGAATCTAAATGAGCCAACTGGTCAATTGCTAAGAAGCTGCACTGAACACTTACATACAATGACATATGACTGTCAGTTCCATTATTGAAGACAACCGAAACCTTTATTAATTTAATTTAAATAATAATTAGTTCATTAAATTATTAATTATTAAAATAAATGTTGTTTTTTTTACCTAATTTAGGATTAGGTTACAACATCTAAAATAAGAGAAACAAATAATCAATTCTATATTCTAATAAATGCAAACTTTATAATATTTTGAGGTGCTAAACCTATCCCTAACCCAAATAATGTAGAATGTGTACAATTTCACATACAATAATGTGGGGAAATTGTTGGAAAACCACTGGAAAAACATCTTTAATTAAAAAAAAAAAACATACCTACCTACCTTACCTACCTTGAAGGGTGTACTAAAATTTGAACTTAAAAGTTTTTATAAATAAGCAAACACTGAAATCAACAGAATACAGACATTCCAGATCTGATCGGCTTCAAAGTCTTCCAGCGTTTCGAAGCCTGGTTTCACAGGCATTATTCTTCCACTCTTATTTGATCATGTGTGCAGTCAATGTTTGTAGAGATTTATTCAGACAGAAGATCAAAACTGGATTCTAAAACAATCTTTTAGATCCTGATCTACATATAACTGTCTGTGATCTTTAACGGCAGCCCCTTTAGACCAAGGTGACTTTTTCCAGAGCAAAGAACATCACCTAGAAAACACTACAAAGCTCTGAAGGCCAAGAGCAATGAATGAAACTAGGGGCAGTACTTTTCAAACAGGTTCTCTCTTTACACATACCTACTTTTATTGGAACAGGCAAAGCAAGGACTGCTCCCAGATCACCTTTTTCGCAATGAGATATTTGATATGTGCAGTCACAGGACGTTCCTGCGGTTCTTCTAATCCTCAAGACTACTTCAAATCACTCAGTACCAGAACAATGTAGTAATAGTGTGTCAGACCAAATGTGCTACAATGCAGCTTTGTTGGACGTTTCCTTGTAGTCGTACTGCCAAAACTTCTGCACTACATGCAGAACCCCAGCTCATAGACATACACCATATACGTAAATTATAATTTGATGACTTCTCTTTTTATTTTTTAATTTAATTAAATTTTTTTACACAAAACTGGGATAAAGTTTTTCTTGACTTTGTGGGAATACATACAATAAATTGCTTTAAGAGAAAATATAATCTTTCTGGAAAAAACAAAACAACCATTAAAGAATCAACTGGCCCAGTAACAAAGAAAAGTGGAAATGTATCACTTTGTACAAAGAGTAACCTCTGAAAAGTCAAGTCATGTGCATTTCTAAAGCACTTAATACAATGCAGAGCTGGGCGGTATACCGGTTCAAACGGTAGCCTAAACTGGTTTGAATTGCGCAAACGGTATGAATTTTTCAAAAACCGGCATACCGGTAGTTACAAGTGCCAACATGGCAGGTTCAGTATGCACAGGAATAAATTATACCAGGGTCAATGACATACAATCATGTGATAAAAAAATAAAAAAATAAATAATTTAAACTAGTTCTTAGAAGTGTATTCCTGTAGGGTTTTTTTGGTTTTAAAAAATAAATGAATAAAATAATGACTCTTAAAAATGTCACAGAGTAAATATCAAGTAGAATTTCATAAATGATTTACTTTTTATCTGGAATACAATTAAGTGTTCACATTTTGATCATCATTACCAAAATATTTGTATGTGTTTTTAAGGTAAATAGTACTTTAAAAAATGTCTATCATTGATTATTAATTTTGAAACCTTAAATAAAATTTTTACCACTCAAAAAATAAATTAATTCAAAAAAATATATTTTAATGTATTAGTTAAAACATGCTCCAAATCAAGGTGTATCCAAGTCACTGTATATATGAACTGTATTTCTAATGTTTTTTTTAAATAAATTAAAACCCCTACACACCTGTATATCTAAAGAACGTACTTCATCAACAACGGAGACAAATTCTTTATCAAATTCAGTATATGCTACGAAAAGTACACGCATTTTTAGCTCACTGTACTCAAATGACAGCACAAGGAAATGATAGCCAGAAAAAAAAGCACGTGGGACACATTCCACTGAACCGTGCCTCCAACACCTTCCTTCCCTCAACAAAAGAAATAAAACACCCAATCAGGTTCTGCCACCCAAACTTGATCACTCACTATCAGAAAGACACTGGAGCTGAGCTGCAGTTTATCTAGAGGCTTTGCTGCTTCTGACGGACTCACCTTGTGAAGTTCAATGGTATCGATCCACTGCTGTCGGAGCAAAGGATGTTCAGCCCTCAGATACCAGATGCTGTCGTTCACACTGATGTCAAAACGGCATTCATCAAACTCATGAGGCTGAAAAGAAAGAGAACATCAAAAACAAGAACAGATCATAACAACGAACATGCTGGAAAATGGAAAAGGTTTATGGGCCATGTTTATTCAAATCTGTCTGCCATTATGTTTTTGAAGCACCTTTTCCTGCTGTTCCTGATAAACAACTCCTTGCCACCACAACATGGATTTGCACCACTGAATAGGTCACTGAAAATCTCACACTTTTACAGATGGCAGATAACAGTAAAACAAAAACTGCAGACCGCCTCATACACAAACTAGGGGAAACCACCAGCTATTGTAAGCAGTGCACAAATGATCCACAGTTTGGAACTTACATCTTTACCAAAGCACAATTTTGCCAGATTACCATTTTGTTCGTAATTAGCTACTACAGTAGATGGCGATTTTTTTAATCTAACGAATCTAAATGAGCCAACTGGTCAATTGCTAAGAAGCTGCACTGAACACTTACATACAATGACATATGACTGTCAGTTCCATTATTGAAGACAACCGAAACCTTTATTAATTTAATTTAAATAATAATTAGTTCATTAAATTATTAATTATTAAAATAAATGTTGTTTTTTTTACCTAATTTAGGATTAGGTTACAACATCTAAAATAAGAGAAACAAATAATCAATTATATATTCTAATAAAATGCAAACTTTATAATATTTTGAGGTGCTAAACCTATCCCTAACCCAAATAATGTAGAATGTGTACAATTTCACATACAATAATGTGGGGAAATTGTTGGAAAACCACTGGAAAAACATCTTTAATTAAAAAAAAAAAACATACCTACCTACCTTACCTACCTTGAAGGGTGTACTAAAATTTGAACTTAAAAGTTTTTATAAATAAGCAAACACTGAAATCAACAGAATACAGACATTCCAGATCTGATCGGCTTCAAAGTCTTCCAGCGTTTCGAAGCCTGGTTTCACAGGCATTATTCTTCCACTCTTATTTGATCATGTGTGCAGTCAATGTTTGTAGAGATTTATTCAGACAGAAGATCAAAACTGGATTCTAAAACAATCTTTTAGATCCTGATCTACATATAACTGTCTGTGATCTTTAACGGCAGCCCCTTTAGACCAAGGTGACTTTTTCCAGAGCAAAGAACATCACCTAGAAAACACTACAAAGCTCTGAAGGCCAAGAGCAATGAATGAAACTAGGGGCAGTACTTTTCAAACAGGTTCTCTCTTTACACATACCTACTTTTATTGGAACAGGCAAAGCAAGGACTGCTCCCAGATCACCTTTTTCGCAATGAGATATTTGATATGTGCAGTCACAGGACGTTCCTGCGGTTCTTCTAATCCTCAAGACTACTTCAAATCACTCAGTACCAGAACAATGTAGTAATAGTGTGTCAGACCAAATGTGCTACAATGCAGCTTTGTTGGACGTTTCCTTGTAGTCGTACTGCCAAAACTTCTGCACTACATGCAGAACCCCAGCTCATAGACATACACCATATACGTAAATTATAATTTGATGACTTCTCTTTTTATTTTTTAATTTAATTAAATTTTTTTACACAAAACTGGGATAAAGTTTTTCTTGACTTTGTGGGAATACATACAATAAATTGCTTTAAGAGAAAATATAATCTTTCTGGAAAAAACAAACAACCATTAAAGAATCAACTGGCCCAGTAACAAAGAAAAGTGGAAATGTATCACTTTGTACAAAGAGTAACCTCTGAAAAGTCAAGTCATGTGCATTTCTAAAGCACTTAATACAATGCAGAGCTGGGCGGTATACGCCCAAACTGGTTTGAATTGCGCAAACGGTATGAATTTTTCAAAAACCGGCATACCGGTAGTTACAAGTGCCTAAGCAACGTACACAGCGTCGTTAATTGAGAGGAGATCCCTGTTAACTGCATACACTTCTAACTAATGATTGGAAAACTTTTAGAACTATTAATAAAACACAACTAATTAGTTAACGGGCAAATAAACCAACTGCAAAAGGCCATTAACAGAAGCCTCAAAGACGGACGCAAAAATAAAATACTGTAACAGGCAGAGTAAACTCACTTCACCATGCGCGAAATATTGGGGAAAAATCCTAAATGCTGAACTGGGGCTGAGGGGTTTATGTGAATGTATCTGAGGGGAACTGACTGTCTTCAGAAAAGTTTAGATGGTATTTTCTTTTTATCTTACCTCCATATAATGCATAATTTAAATAATATTAATGTAGCATTTAAAAGCGCTGCTTTGTTTACAGCGGTAACCAAGGAAACACTATAGCAGCTGTTCCATAGCACCACCTGCTGTCAGAAGAGAGTGAATTTGCGTCGCTTTCAGCCTGTCTGATGTTTCTGTCTCCTTCACAATCACATATGTTATCATTAGAGCCCGACCGATATGGGTTTTTTGGGGCCGATACCGATATTTGGGAGTAAAAATTATATTATAGCACTTTGTGCATATTATAGCACTTTCCCATTCATGTGTCCAAACATTTGGCCGGTACTATATATAGAATACAGTATATACATAAACAGAATATATATATATACACACAAACACATTTTTTGCAATGATCACTCAAATGTGGTGATCAAACACTTATAATGACGTGACAAAGATATGTAATGATGGAGGCAGGGCATTTAACAATTTAACAATAAACTTTATTCAAAATGAGTCTGACATCAGTGCACTGAACAGTAAAGTTGAAGTTTATTCAACTTTAATTCAATTCAATTCCATCCAACTTTATTCCTTTGAAGTTTATTTCACTT